AATACAAGACAAACTAAAACTACAAAAGTTTTTCTGGATGATTGCATCAAAAAGTTAGACGTACACGAATTTCCAAACATTGAATTTGTTAAGGTAGTGGGAAACCATTTTAAAATTAAATAAATAAACATTTCATAACTGATATGTGTTTTCTTTCTGAAATTATTTTATCTTTAATTTACTGAAGTACTGAAGTGCACTATAAATATATATTTATTTTCGATAAATAAAATCGGTAAGTAGTCGTTAACTTAATTATCGGAGCTGATGTGAACGGCAGGGATCTCGGCTAGTACCCGGGAGGGAATTCGACTGTCTATATTTTAACCAAAACTACCTGCGAGAGGGAATTCGGCATCACCGGTTTCTACTTTTTCGTCTTTTGTTGATTATTTTAATAATCCAAGTCGATCTAAGATGAACTTATAGCAATTAAATGACTTATACGTAATTTTTCTGAAACATATCCTTTCCATTATTCTAATTTATATTGTTAATTATCTTATAAAACTAAATTTTACTAGACAAACTTAAACATTTACCTAACTATTTTGTTATTACATCGTCTTTAGTCTCTAACAGTGAATGTAATTTAATTGGAATAATTCGTTATATAAAGCACATGTATGTAGTTAATTGATTGCGTGTCGCAATTACTGCGAAGCATTTTGAATAATATCTTGAAGAAACATCGCTTTGAGTTTAATTTCATAAAATTTATTTAAAATCTTTACAAACAAGTATATACTTATGTTCTGACAGATATGCCGTTATTCAAAAGAAGACCACAATTTCTGTACTGAAGGTAACGGTAAAAAAAAACACTTGAGAGTTTCATTCGCACCAACTACTAATGCTAGTAGGTGGACAGCCCCTCTAATATACAGTATAGTACCGGTAGGTACTGATTAGGCCAGAATTATTTGTCAACAATTCCGATCGATTGTTTACAATGTTGGAGGTACTTGTACTTGATTAGCAATTTCTAAATTTTCTGGAAGTGTTTTATACCTTTCGGAGCCAATCGTTTCTACAAAACTTAAAAATTAAATACCAATTCCAAGTAATCCCAACATTGCAAACAATTTAACCGACCACTGCGTAGACCTTTTCAGGTACTTATAAATATTTATGATAATTACTGTTAAAAATTAATATAGAAATTGTGTTTTTCTTTTGAATAATGACATAGTTTCTTGGGCATATACCCACAGATGTGGGGAGGGGCAGAGAAGGGCAACAGTGTTACCGGAGCCTGAACTGCTAACACTATATTAGCTGGCTAATCACGTGTCTATCTATCGACATAAGTACTACTATGAAAATTTATTTTCAATTTTTTACGCACTATAAACTACCTCCGGTTAATGAGGGAAAATTTATTGTTGTGCTCACAGGGAATCGAACCCGTTTCCTTTACCGTTGCGCACCAGTGCTCTGACAACTAAGCTACGAGAGATAACAACAATAACAACGACAAACCATACTTATTAGGTCACAGATCTGTCGAACTAATGTAATTATATTAACACTATATATATGAAACAACTTTGACATATAATAGTTGTTAATAACAAATGTTAATGTGAAAATTGATTTTCAATTTTTTACCCACTATAAACAACCTCAGGTTAATGAGGGAAAATTTATTGCTGTGCTCACAGGGAATCGAACCCGGGACCTTTACCGCTGCGCACCAGTGCTCTGACAACTATGCTACGAGAGATAACAACAATAACAACGACAAACCGTACTTATTAGGTCACAGATCTGTCGAACTAATATAATTATTTTAATACTATATATATGAAACAACTTTGACATATAATAGTTGTTAATAACAGATGTTAATGTGAAAATTGATTTTCAATTTTTTACCCACTACAAACTACTTTAGGTTAGTGAGGTAAAATTTGTTGCTGTTGCCACACCTTCGCCGGAAATCGAACCCGGGACCTTTCGCTTTATGCTCTGACCACTAAGCTACGAGAGATGACAACAAATTTTCCCTCATTAACCCAAGGTAGTTTATAGTGGGTAAAAAAATGAAAATGAATTTTCACATTATTAACCACTACATATAAACGTAAGTACTGTTTATAAATTTGAAAATGGTGTAAAATTCAGGAAATTCTGGACTTGCACCATTAAAGGCGCCTATGGGTAGTTTTATATAAATGCAACTGTACTTTCAAGATCACCAAGATCGTTTATTATATACCTGCCTAAATAATTCCTTCCGTTACTTTCAGGCAATAAAAAAAACATCTACTTATTCCTGATTGTTAAATTAAGGATAACAACTTTACACTTTACATATTATTTAATAAGCAAAATCTAGTACAGACCTGCTTGCCTTTTTTTTGTAGCGCTACTTCAATACCACGTAATATCTCTTCAATTAAATTATGCTACTAAAACGTGACGATGTTAGATGATTTATATCCTTGTTTGGTTGCTATTAGTGAAGTATGTAGGTACTAGGTAACTATGTAGACATCCACTCAAGACCTGTGTCAATTCCGATGGATCATTTAGTAATTACAGAAAAGACTGTCAATAGCCCGACGATGACCACGCATCTGGTTGGTACATTACAACTTATTCATATCCATTTCTAATTAAACGATGACTTCCACTTTCATGAAACCCAACAGTGCGTTATTTGCAATTAAAGAGAAATTGTTATTAATTAATAATGAACAAGATTCTTTTAAAAATACGTTCGTATAGATAACTAACTATTTATTTAAAGATATTTCAATATAATCGTATAGTTTAGATACAAAAAACCAGAAAATATTTAAAGATGTCCAATTGGTTTTTTGCAACACTCCTTTGCAGACTATATGGATGGTGTATTGTATTGCAAAATACGTTTTTTTTTTATTAGGTACTTCCTTATTTTTTTTTTTAGGTTATATATTTCCGCGCGCGCCCCTTTTTAACCTTGCGACCCTAGGCATATGCCTACTTTGCCTTATGGATAATCCGCCGCTGCCCCTTAGATTAGATTAAAATTTTAATCTCGCACCGTTTCTTACATTAAAAGTAGATACCTAATATGTTTAAATGTGGGAGAAACTCCTACTTATGTACAAATTAATAAACATTTCAATTAATTACCAAATGACTGAAATATTATGTATGTAGATTGTTGGTACATGTTCCATGTTGAAGAACCACAAGCAACAACATGAATGGTTCAACGATTACAAAAACCTCAACTCATCACATGGAGTAACTTTTTTCGGAAAGCTAGGTATTGCTGTTCTTGTGTTTAGCTTAGCCTTTTCTTGCTAACGTTGTATGTAAGTAATAAAATATTTAGGGATGGTGATTATACATGTTCGTAAAGGTATAAGAATTTAACAGTAACTGTCATCACACATTTACGTCTTATTTATTTTTATATCAAAGCGTACGCATAAATAGATGTACTTCTGTATTTTTCGTTATTTAAGTCAGAAATAATTTTTTTCGAATTAATGAAGGTAGATACCTATTACGGTTCATACCTACTCGGTAAAATTAACTTTGCTTCGTAAAATACCTTGTCGACCTCTCATTAATGTCATTAGCTATTAACTATTTACAGATAACGTCAAGTAAACAGTGTTGACATTTTAATGTTTTGTGTAGTAAGAAATAAGTATTAGGTATACTTTTTAACAAAAAATAAAACAGAAACACTAAATATTATCCACAAAATGACCATAAATTAAATCCACAAACTACCTACATTTTTAATGTTGTGAAAACCAGCCACAACAAGTTTTTACGATTTTAGGTTCACTTACGTTTGTTTTTTGACATGCCTCCTTCGGGAAGTCAGAGTATAGGATTCACGATGGCCTGCACTAAAGTATTTCATAATCTTTGGAATTGATTGCACACGGTTAATTACTCTTAAAACTTAAAGAGTAATCGTTATTTCTTAATTAACACTACACTACAACCACCTATTTAACTTCAACTCACTTATTGTAAACAGGGTATGTTGCTTTAAATCTTTTTTAAGATATGTAAACAAACACTGGCCCACTTCTTACGGTGTTCCTTTAAATATGTTTAAAACGAAACATTAAGCAGATCAACACATATGTGTTCTATAAACAATTGTTTTACGCCATCCTGGCCGAATTTGAAAAACAGTGCGACCTGTATTCTTCTTTTGAATTTAACCACGTGTTTGACACCGTAACAGCAATATCGGTAACAATCGGACCGTTTAATGCACGTGCTCGTACACCGACAACGGCACGCATCTTACCTCATATACATCACCATAAACACTACCTTCGCTGACTTTCGGTCCACGCTCTACGTCCGGAGCAGCGCAGCAGCAGTAGTAGCTCGAAATGAAGGGTCTGGAATGAGTCAGCGGCCCCACCATACCTTCCGTCTCTCTTGTACAAATAAAAACACGGATTATTCCTCTCGTTCGGCTGGGAGCAATATCGCTCCATCAAGCGTTTAACGATAAATAATCTTCAGGCATATATCAAATTCTTCATTCGGCTTTCTGAAGAAATATATGTATTTCCGCGATGTGTGCAAGTTGGATTTTATGCAACCCCGGATTAGGGTACTAAAACGCGATATTGGTAATTAGAGAAAATACCTAATTCGCTTGCAATATAAAAAACGAATACAAGACATTTTTACAAAAAAAAAAGTGGAAATTAATAGAGTGCATCAAACAATTCTGGTATTAATGCAATTAGTGGAAGAAGAAACTTGTTGAATAATGCAATAACCTGTTTTAAGGCAGTTTCACTTGAAATCATCTAATTGTAAATCTACAAGTTGTTACAGCGTCAAACATTTAAATTAATTAAGGTCGGATTCAACATTAAATAAAAGAATACAGATGATTTTTTTTAATTAGGTATATCGCCTATAATTCAGTATATCTGTTCTTTTCAAGTTATTATTCAAGTAAATTTCGAGAAAAAGATTTCCAATACGTATGTATTCAAATATCAATAAATATAATAAGAAAGACATCAGGTAAAATTTCGTTTTTGAAGATATCAATAAATAGTAATGTCAATCTTGAAACTAATTAAAAATTGTTTAATTCGAACGGCTACTTCTACATAGCAAGACTATAGTGAAATTGTTCATCAATGTACGTGGTAAATTAGCAATAAAATGACTGAAATCAAAAGTGGTGTCACTGTTAAAATGCTTCAGAAACTCAAATGTGAGTTTGGCAAAATCTATTGCAAGCATTTTTTTTCCATCACTAACATCACTGGATTCTTTTGGTACCGACGCGATTCCGACGTGAATTTAGTATCACAAATGCATGAAAAGTAAGCAAGTAAATATTTTTAACCAACCCGCGACTTCGCTAGTGTTCATGTCCTAAATATATTGTCAAAGACCAACGACGACCGTATAAAATTAATCTTTCTATCCCTCGGTAAGAGTATTGCATTTTTTTTTGATAAATGGTACCCTAGTTCTATTCTGTATTTTTGACAATGTTTCATGATATGTTTTATCCGCGCCTTCGTCCTAAAAATAACAGGTCAATTGAAAAGTCCCCGGCCTAAAATAGTAAAACACATTTTTTTTGCAAAATTCGTTTTTTTTATTCAACATAATTCCCTTCAAGGGTGATACACTGATTATAGCGATCCTCCAACTTTTCGATACCATTTTTGTAGTACGATTTGTCCTTTGCTTCAAAATAGGCCTCAGTTTCGGCGATCACCTATTTATTCGACGAAAAATTTTTCCCAACGAGCATTCTTTTGAGATCTGAGAACAGGAAGTAGTCGCTGGGGGCCAGATCTGGAGAATACGGTGGATGCGGAAGCAATTCGAAGCCCAATTCATGAATTTTTGCCATCGTTTTCACTGACTTGTGAGACGGTGCATTGTCTTGGTGAAGCAGGACTTTCTTTTTCTGCAAATGCGGTCGTTTCTCGGCGATTTCGTCCTTCAAACGGTCCAATAACGCTATGTAACAGTCGCTGTTGATGGTCCTTCCTTTTTCAAGGTAGTCAATGAAAATTATTCCACGCGCATCCCAAAATACAGACGCCATAACCTTGCCAGCCGACTGTTGCGTTTTTGCACGCTTTGGAGCGGGTTCATCGTGTGCAGTCCACTCCGATGACTGTCGATTGGACTTCGGAGTGAAATGATGGAGCCATGTTTCATCCATTGTCACATATCGACGCAAAAACTCGGGTTTATTACGCGTGATCATCTTCAAACACTGCTCTGAATCATCAACTCGTCGTTGTTTTTGGTCAAAAGTGAGCTCGCGCGGCACCCACTTTTCACAGAGCTTTCTCATACCCAAATATTCGTGAATGATGTGATGTATACGTTCCGTTGATATCTGTAGAGTGTCTGCTATTTCATTCAATTTCAATTTACGGTCATTCAAAATCATTTTGTGGATTTTTTTAATGTTTTCGTCCGTAACAGCCTCTTTTGGGAGTCCACTGCGTTCACCGTCTTCGGTGCTCATTTCACCACGTCTAAACTTAGCATACCAATCCTTGATGGTTGATTTTCCTGGGGCAGTGTCCGGAAATTCGTTATCAAGCCAAGTTTTTGCTTCAACTGTATTTTTTCCCTTCAAAAAGCAATATTTTATCAACACGCGAAATTCCTTTTTATCCATTTGTTTCACAATAACAAAAGTTGCTTCACTAAAAATTCTATAATTCACAAAATAATGATCCGACAGTCGTCAAATTTATAGACGCGTCTTTTGAAAGTTAGGACTAACTGAAAATCATATGGATTTAGTTCTGGTGCCGCCATCTATGTGTCAGGCCGGGGACTTTTCAATTGACCGTAGTACGTGTCAATGATAACAAACGACCACATACAAATAAATTTTTTTAACCTTCGGGAAGAGGATTTTTTTTCTGGATAAAACATAGCCTACGTCCTTTTCTGTACCATTGACAATGTGTGTAGAAAATTTCATCATACGTTTTATCCGCGGCTTCGCTCTCGTTGATGTCCTAAAAATACGTGTCAAAGATCGCAAACGACCAAATAAAACTAATTTTTTTAACCTTCCGGAACAGTATTTTTCTTCTGGATAAAACGTACCCTATGTCCTTTTCTGTACCATTGACGATACGTGTACCTACACAATTTCATGATGATCGGTTGTGTAGTTAGTTAAGTCGTGAAATAGTAGCAAACAAGCAAACTCATATTCGCATTGATAATGTAATATTAGTTAGGAAGGTGGGATTTACATGTGTCACTTTAATTTTATTAGAAAAATTTTCATTATTTACTTAAAGCAGGCTCCATTATTTACAGAAGATATGATCAAGAAGAATACATCTCAGTCATCATATAGATCCACCCACCATTATGGTAAAGACGGAACGCTAACGCCTTTTTATTTTGGATTCGTGATGCTTGTGTAGTTTCCATGCGTTTAAATGCTAGCACGCTTTTCTTGTTTATTAATAAGTTAATTTATAGACTGCTCTCTAGCAATTAAGACTATGTCCATCAGAGGGTGTGATATCTCGATCTTGATAGCTCATGTGATGAGGATCAGAAAAATGCAAAATATGAACCTAATCCAAGCTAAACTCCAAAAGAGCAAGGCCAATATTGCTATTCGAGCTTTATTTAAGTCATAAATATGTCCTTAACTCCACCAAGCACTATGGCCTATACTAGAGGTTTAGAGCATTATTTAGTCCGTTTTTCCTATTCAATTTCCTATTTATCCACCTAGCCTGGTACAAGTTTATCTGTGACCACCTTGGACTACTTTTTAATTATCTCTTCTGTCTTCATTTCATCTGCCTCATCTTTCTCACCCTAATCACCACCCACTCATTTTCACGATTTCTGAACGAAGGCTGAAAAGGACCTTCCGCTCTAATGCCCTACCCTCCAACGTAATCCGGTGGGACTGCCTGCCCAGCAGCAATAGTAGCAAGTGGTAATGAAACATCCAAAAGTTTTTCTTTCTTACATATTTTTGTATTTATCTACTCATACAATTTTCAATTACTTTTTTTTGGTATTTAATTTGCTTTGCCTTAGAATTTCTGTATGTATTGTTAGGGGGTGAACACGAATTTGGTCAAAAAAATGAATGCAAACGCCCTGAAGTACCCAAAGGCACCCTCAAGTAACATTAATTACGCCAATGTACAGGAATGTAAAGAAAAAGTACTTACAACTTAATCTCATTAGAGGGCATTTTTATGGCCAGATTCTTACACAGTGCTCCGACAAACCTCTAAAAGTACCTTCATACATATACGTTTTCTAAAGCAGGGATATATCCATAATTTTAATAATATAATGTTTACATACATTTCAATGAATTTTAACAAAAATATGTAATATCGATTTCTTTTTTTTGTAGATACATTAGCTACTTATTCTAAAATATTATTGTATGGAATTTTTGTAAACATTACGTGTTTGTGCCTGTTTCAAACTACGTTGTTTTGTATGTTATCAGTGTCATCAAAAGCGAGTGGTGTTTCTCCTGTAAGAGCACAAACAGAAGAATAGATAGACCCTGTCTCCTACATGTCAAAACAAACAGGAATGGAACTTATTACAGTCGAAATCTGATTTGTTTGCTTTATTAAGCTTTTGGCATTTGGCTACTTTTGTGCAATGCTTTCCGATGAGTGGTTGACATCACTACCATAGCAAAGAGGAAGGGCCTGACCAGGGTTCTCCTATTCACGTGTAGGTACTTGAAAATATTATAGTTGGCGACAACGTAACTGACAAACCTGATGATTGGCAGATATCGAAAGTCATAGGGTGCATAAGAACAGTTAAGATTTTCTTTAGCAAATAAACTATAAACTATGACTTTTTTCCGACATATTAGAGGCAGAAATAGGAGTTAAGAGGAATAGTGGCAGATCTAGATTAGATTACTGTCCGCAAATAGTTAAAGATGTAGGATGTTCTAGTTTTAGGGAAATGCAAAGATTAGCTCAGGATAGGAATGAATGGGCGTGCGTGTTCAACCAGTGTTAAGACTGACGACCTTATGATGATGACACACAAATATCTGGAAAAATTGTTTTCTAACCTAATTTCCCTAGAGCCAAAGTGTACTCATTTTTTCCACCTGCCCAAATGAGTAGCGTCTCGTAAAATGCACAAAAATGTTTTAGGGACATTCTGATTTAAACCTTCAGTTACAGAATATTTACTTTCAAAATTGTTACGAAATAGCTCTTTCTCTTATTTCTAAACTGTAGATGCAAAATACATGTCACAAATCCTAATTGTGCTCTTTGTTAGTTATTACT